TATATTGTAAGTTTTCAACCTTAGGGACATGTGGGGACATTTGCAATCTGCTGGGGAGATTTGATGTGCCACAGGCTAGGAAAAAAAACTATTCAACTATCTATTGATGTTAATTTTTCTTTCTGGAAACATGTTAATGTTGATTTGACCTACAAAAACAGGTTCAACACCATCACCCTATATAATACAATCGATAATAGTTAGCACAAAGTGGTTTAGCAAGGGTTAAATGTCAAACCAACTCAAAAACCTTTAAGATATCCAGATGAACTTAACCCCCCATACCAAAGGTAATTGTTGTTTTTGGTTTAGTTTCTTGTAGTGTTTATAACAAAATCTTTATACTTTGATCAAATTTTGATTTAACATAAAGTAGACACCTCACCCTTAAAAATAGTACTGACTTTTAGTCCAATGAGCACTCATGATTAATCTTACCTATCTTAAAAGTCAGAAGTTAGAGTCTAGTTTAAAAGTATATTTCAAGTATTATACCATATTTGCTTTCAAGAATTTTTACTTTGACTTCGTTTTAGAATTCCCCGTGTGCTACAGGCTGTGCATGTTAAAGATCTCTCGACAGTTGAAAAACGAAAAAGAGCAGGCTAATGCCGCTGTCCTGGCAAAATTTCCCTCATTGCACCCTGCATGGCGTTGCCCGTCTTCATTAGCCCACATGGTGTAGAAAAGTATGACGTAAAACTTCATTTCATTTAGTTTTAGAATTTTAAATTCTTCTGAATTTTTGAATTTATATTCCATATTAATATTATTGTTATAAGAGTCACTATGTACATACAATGTTAACATTTAAGATTAAGGTAAAAGCACATAGCATAGTTGATATATAATTTGCAATATATTCAATATAATGGCTACTTGTGCAATAAATTTTAGTGATTTGAAGAAAGTAGAACATTCAATTATGATTCAGTATAAAATATAACCTTAACTATAAGCTAAGATACTGTTAATAAGTTGTTGAAATTGTTGAAACAGCTAGATTTATACCCCTTTCGCACTGCAAAAATAATTCGGTTCTATCTGGCAAAAAAACTTTTTCGGTTATAACCTGAAGTTATCCAGATAGAAAAATCTACCTCAAGAGGTGGATTTCGTCTGGATACGATCCAGATAAGTGGCAGTGCGAAACCAAACAAGAAGTTATCCGGATAAGTTTATCACGTGGGGTGTCACGTGTATAAGCACTTCAAAATGGCTCCTGTTGGCGGGGACGTTATAATGATATTTGACGGGATTAATAAAGTACACGAATTGTCTAGGAAAAGAATGGATATATATCGGAAGAGGAAACAGAAAATATTTTTGTTTTTATTTTCATATTTTTTATTTATAAACAAGGAATTTCAGTCCCGTCAACTGTGGGTGCAACCTAGGTCGGAATGGTGGATGAGAGCTGGCATTATTAATCTGAACAAGTTGGCAATAGTTGAAAAAACATGTTTATTCCTCTTCATGCCATCTAATTCATCTTGAATTTTAGTATCGCCCCAGACAGCAGGCATGCAGCGAATTTCGTCGTTGCTCCAATTATAATTGCCAGCATCCATATTGGTTTTTGATGTTTTGTCACGTGACATGATGTGTTACTAAAAATATAAAGTTATCCAGATAACTTGACTCGGCAGTGCAAAATCAGCTATCCAGATAGGATTGCAGTGCGAAAGCAACCCGAACGGAATCGAACCGAACTGAATCGGATTTTTCTATTCGGTTATAACCGAATTCAATAATTCAGTTGTGCAGTGCGAAAGGGGTATAATTGATTTTTTATCCACAAGGGAACAGAATTTGTCACATATTACTAGTACTGTGGTAAATTAGTGTTTTGATTTATGGCTTTCCTCTCAAGTTACTTAGGTCGAAACTAAAGTTACCCCCCTCCCACAAGTCTAAGTTTCTCTTCTCCCTCCTGGTTTTCCAGTAAGTGTCAACTGAGGATACCTGCCCATACCTTATTAACTCTACCAAATGTAAATGTTCCCCCCTCCAAAGTGTCAAGGTTTATTCATTCATCCCATTATATTTTTTTCATCTGCTTGGATTAATTTTCTGGTAATATCAAGATCTGTTTATTACTAGTCCAGTTTTATTTTATAAGACAAAAAATGTCCAGTGTTATAAGAAACTAGAAAAATAAGATATATAGCTCTTAATTCATTTAATTTGCTAATGAGTTAACTGATATAATAATTATTGTTAAGAATGAAATTCTGGTTTTCAGTATGTATAATTTTAACCTATTCCGCAATCTAATTTTCCATTATTTTGTATATAATTATATAAGATATAACTATTTGTATTATTATTTGACTATTTGCTTCTATTTAATTCGTCTATTAAGTGCTAAGTACTAATATTATTCTACTACAAAAATTTGAGTCCGTCAGTTAAACAAAAACTCCATTAGACATGTCTGGTACTATATTGGACTAATCAGGAACTTCTACTACAACAATGTTTAGGTCAGTTTCATAAGAAACTTTACTTTATGAAATTTAAATCTGAGGCTTGTCAGAAATTTTAGTCACGAAAGATAATATTGAACAGTGATTGGTTGATTTTTTCATTTTAACTAAATTATGGACCAATCAGAACATCGTAACTTTATGTTATGGCATTGATGGTGTGAACCAATCAGATTCTTGATGTGAATTTTGCCAACATTGTTCAACACAGTTGTCTGATCAGAGACAAAAAACTAGAGGCAACAATTCAAACTATGCCTATGTGTAGGATAGTCTATTTACAAAAACCTGATGATAATCTTCTTTTCAAAAATTTGAAATTAAAGAAATTATTATATTGACTAACAGATTAATGTAGAATAATTTCTTGTTAAAATTCAATGTATATCTTTTTTTTTTTCTTGTCTTTTTGTTGATTTGTAATTGACAGTCAATGTAATATACAATATGCATCTTTTGGTCTCATTAAATGATTTTTACAAACCAACCCATCTTTCATTTTCTACTTGTTAGCAGGCCCGTAGCCAGACTTGATTGTTCAGAAGGACAAGTAATATATCAGGAAGGACAAGTAATATATCTAGAGGGACAAGTAATATATCTAGAGGGACAAGTAATATATCCAGAGGGACAAGTAATATATCTAGGGGGACAAGTAATATATCTATAGGGACAAGTAATATATCTAGAGGGGCAAGTAATACATCTAGAGGGGCAAGTAATATATCCGGAGGGGCAAGTAATTTATCGGAGGGACAAGTAATATATCTAGAGGGACAATGGTGTATGGTGTTTAGTTGCAGTAATGGAATCGATCGGTTGTCATAATTTTTCTATCTGTAGTTACAGGGCCTGTTTGTTAGATTTTCTGGATCCATGGTTCCCACCTGTTTTTAGATCAGTACCCCTTCTCTCACTACGAGGAATCAAGGTGGCTTTGCTAACCTGAGGGACTAGGTTCAATCCTGGTGTGGTCCGAGATAATGTATCAACCAAGTTTCCCGTGATGCAGGTCACAGGGTCGGACATTGAAAGTTTCTAGTCATTCAGATGGGACAATAAACCAACGCCCTGTATACTTAACACCAGGGCACAACCCTTGCCAGTAGGAAATCGACAAAGAGTAAGCCAATGCAACTGTTCTTAGCAAATCTTTCTCATTGCCTATTTGCATATTAGTTTAGATATTTTCACCAAATCATTCAGGAGCCTTCTCGAAAACTTAAATTAAAATGATTTTAGTTTTCAAGTCATTTGATTGGTCAATCACTAAAATTGATATTAAATGCAGTTTTATTATCCAATCAGATTACTGTAGTCTGTTCCTTAAAAACTGGATTTTTCATATCTTAGTGAAGTTACTGAGAATAAAGCCTCAGATGTATTAATCTTAGACTAAAATATGGATTTTTCAAACCAGACAAATCATACAAGAAAATTGGTGCATACTCTATCTTTGAAAATTTTTTCTCATCTAGAGGTCACTATCCCTTTAATTTTCCCAATGTATAGTTATCTCCCCTTTTATACAATCAGCCTATTGATAAGTTCACTGTCCATTAAATTCGGCTTTTCCACAATACAATTAGAGAATTATATGCATATATAAGTAAACGAAACTATAAAATTGTTTCAATAATTTCGGCAATACTCTGTTTGCTTGTCTCAGTTATAAATAAGCCAAACTAATTCTTTGCACAAATAGGAGCCCTATATTATTCATAAACTTTGAGTTACAACAGAAAATACTGAAAACTATCTTTCGTTTACTTTTGTTTAATCGTAAATTTTTGCATTTTTAGTGTATCCGCTATTGTTGTTATTTTAAGGGCGTCTATATCGATCGATGAGACCAAACTTCATGCCTTGGTGGAAGTTGTTGGAAATTGATCAACTCCTTTAGTTTCTCTGTATTTCTTCAAGAATCTTCTTAGAATTTGGGGGGTTTAGGTTTTATTTTCAAGGTAAGACGTATTGGAATACTGGGCTGTCAAAAGATCCTGCAAAATTCCACAAAAATCGAAGTTGTAATTGGAATATTTATTAATGTTTACCTTGGTAACCTTACTCTTTAGTCAATGGCATCATATAGATCATATAGATCAAATTCCACATTGACAGTTTTGTACTAATAAACTATGGCACTCTGTTGCTAGAGCATGGTGGGTGAATGATATCCTTCTCCAACCAAACCGTTTGGCTTAGTTTGAATTGATTTCATAAGGCTACCTTCTTTTGCACTGTCCACAATATCAGTAAGGTCTCTTGAAATTTTAAAATTAATTACCGGTATTCAAGTCAGTGTTTTTTATTATGTGTACGTTCCTATTTGTCATGTTTGTTGTGAGTGTTTGGCAGCTCTACCAAAGAATGGCAAAATCAGGAGTAAAGGTAGTATAGAGAAGGATATACTTTGTAAATGGTCTCCTATAGCCTAAGTATTCTTTAGAAATGTACACTTTTAAATGTTACTTATAAACTTTTATTATAACTTTAAATGTGTTATTACAGATGTCTGATTTAGTGGCTCAATGGCAAGTTGGTCTGAGTGATGGCCTTCATAAAGTAGAGTTTGAACATGGTACGACCACTGGTAAACGTATTATTAGGGTGGACGGAGAGGTGAGTAGAGTTATGTCCCTTTAGTTCCCTGGTTCACTAGAATCGTTTTGTGCATTCTTATATTCTTTTAATGAAGAAGAGAAACAAGAGAAAGAGAAATAGCTATGTTTGAAAACTAAGTGATTTTCTCCCCTTTTTGGGAATCATGATCATTGAACTCTTTGTATTAATGAAATTGCAAAACCCATAAAGTTATGACTGTTGGAAATTGATGCTATCAATGCTCCTGAAACACATGAAAAGTATATGAAACCTATTTTACTATCCCTTAAATAGGCCTTATAATATTTGAGAAACAGAACACCATCTTATCTCTACCTACTACAGAGGTTTTGGCCCTGTCGTGTCGACTTGCACCTCTTTGACCTTTATTCCAGGAAATTTTACGACAAGACTGGTTGTTTAAATTGGTAGGAAAAGAACATTTTAACATTGGAAAAGCCAAGTTAGTGATATCTATAGACGCTGTGACTGGTTTTGCCTATGAATATACGCTAGAGGTGAATGGCAAACCTCTCGAGAAATTTAAAGAAAATCAGAGTAAGATTATGAAGTCCTGGGTTTTAACGATTTCTGGCAATCCTATTAGAGTTGTTTTAGGTGAGAAACAGTTTGATTGGTTAATTCACTAGACCATTATTAATATAAGAATAGAGATACTTCGTTTAGTCTCGATTTTTCAAAGAATGGTATTTGAATTATTGCCCTTGAATAGGCCTAAATACTTACTGGAATAATGAGGAAAGGTGACTTATTCAGTACCCATTTACAAAGATGAACTAACAAATCTAAATTAAAGGAATAAGGAAATACTGTTAAACTTGTCAAACTTCAGTTGTCTGATGCTCTGCTTTCTATTTTTAGAAAAAGACACATTAGATGTTTGGGTGAATGGAGATAAAATGGAAACTGCGGTAAGAAAATTGATGAAGTTGATATTAATTTAAAACTGGGTTGACAGAATGAATGAATGCAAAAAGATGATTTAGTCTGTACCCATTTACAGCTGGGTCAACAAAATAATGATGATGTCATCAGGCTCACGTGTACTCAGATTGATATAAGAACTAATTGCATTTTAGCCAGGCATCAGATCCTAAATAAAAATTACATAAGACATAAGATTCTAAATGTTCTGATTAATTTTCATTCTAAAATTTTATTTTCAGGGCGAGTTTGTGGACGATGGAACAGAAACCCACTTCCAGATTTGTTCTCATCCTGCCTATATCAAAGCTTGTAGTAGTGGAAAACGGAAAACTGGTATAGTGCATACTTTAATTGTTGATGATAATGAAATTCCTATAGCCAAAGAATAATTCTAGTATAATTGTACGATAGGAAAATCTGTTCTCATACAAGACTTATAACAAAATACACAAGGGAATATATTATGGTATAGCACACTTCTTTAATAACAAAATATTGTGTGTGGTAAAAGGTGAAAGCAGAGTGTGCTTAGGCTTTTAGACACCTGATACCACTTTTTTATGAAATAATTACTCACTTATTATTGATTCCTCATGCGAAAAGTTCTACGAAATTAGCTGCTACGATTGTTTTGCCAATAAGTTGTTTTGGATTTCAAGTTTCGTTTTGAATTTTGAATCAGTAGTAACGTTACTTAGTTTATTATTACATCTCTTGTGTTTTGCTATATGTGCTCTCAGCCTATAAATATCGTTCATATATTATAAGATTAATTCAGGAATAAGAATTTGGACAAGATAAAATCTTGTACTTTATCCTTCAAAAAATAGCCATGTTTCTTAAAATGTTTTATAGCTAGGTGGCCCAAAAGTAAACTAGCTGCGATTTTTGCATTTTTAATTAATGATTTGTGTTAAAATCATGAAAACTTGCTCAAATTTAATTTAATTGATATATTGTATGTTAAAAACAATTGTAGATGTTTAGAGACAGAATTATGTATAATCAATCAAGGACCTGTTGTTATACACTATCACAATGTCAAGCTATTTCAAACTTCGTCTTATATCTGGACATCAATAGTCACTTTCCTTGTATCACAGAGTGTAGCAATTTGATTGGATTGTATGCCAGCAAATACAGCCAATCAGAGCCCAATCTAAACCTTATGTCTTTGTGTTCACAGACTTCTGTTGAAGCCTCAGACTGACTGTATTCACTAGCGTACAGTCCAATCAAATCGCTTTATTTAAAAACTATCATGATACAAGGTAGGTTGCTATTGCAGTCAAGGTATAAGATAAATGGTAAAGAGTTTATAATAGCTTGTCATTGTGAAGATTGTTGTTATATAGTTTGTTGTTGATAGTAGTTTAGCCCTCATATCTGAATAATGTACAAACTGAATAATGTACAAACTGAATAATGTACAAACTGAATAATGTACATGTTGAATAAAGTACAAGCTGAATTATGTAATTTGGTACAAACTTTATTTTTGATTAATGTACATTCTGAATAATGCACAAACTGAATAATGTACAAACTGAATAATGTACAAACTGAATAATGTACAAAATGAATAATGTACATGTTGAATAAGTACAAGCTGAATTATGTAATTTGGTACAAACTTTATTTTTGATTAATGTACATTCTGAATAATGCACAAACTGAATAATGTACAAACTGAATAATGTACAAACTGAATAATGTACAAAATGAATAATGTACATGTTGAATAAGTACAAGCTGAATTATGTAATTTGGTACAAACTTTATTTTTGATTAATGTACATTCTGAATAATGCACAAACTGAATAATGTACATGTTGAATAAAGTACAAGCTGAATAATGTAATTTGGTACAAACTTTATTTTTTGATAATATACAAACTGAATAAAGTACAATTTTATTAATGAACATGACATAATGTACAGTTTCAATTATTATTTATTCAACTGAAAAATAAAATGGACTGCTCTACCTTTGATTTATATACAGATGTGCACAATTATTGCCTCATTGTCTGTATTAATGACTCTTTATCTGAATTTTTTTATAGTTCATCTTTTATCTTTATATACTTTGTCATAAGTTTGTGATGCCTTTATTTTTTAAATTCATATATTTTCATATTTAAATTTCATCATTTCATATATGTCAATATTATTCAATTTTTATGAAATGAAATGGGGGGGCGTATATTTCCATCATGTCCATCCGTCCGTCCACAATTGCTCGTAAACACTCTAAAAGGCAACATTCTTGACAGATTTTGACGAAACTTGGTAATATTATACAGTATCGTCCCAAATAGTTCCTAAGAAGTGTATGACTGAAGGTTGAATATTTCATAATGGTGATTGTTACTGTACTGCTAAATATTTTTATTTAAAATCAAAGCTGCAAGTGGGTGTATATTACCTTGCCTGGCAAGCTATCTTAATATTTGATTGATTCAAACTATGATATGTTATGTTGGTGCAAGAAGTGGTTAAATCATTACTCTTGTAAGATTCCAAGTTTTTCATTCCATTTGAACTGTTGTCAAGGTTCTGTCTCTGTTCACAAGAAACTTAGAAATGTAGAATAGTGAAAATAGATCTTCGTAAACATGTCTGAAGATGTAAAACTCTTATTTATTATATTTCATTAATCATAGCAACATTTTAGTTTTTTTTATGTGTAACATTGAGTGTTAATGATATTGTGTTTTTTTCTGAACTTTTGTCCGTCCTCAATATTTTTTTTTGTAAAATTGTATATCTATCTCTCTATTTATTATAAAGAAATATTAAAATGAAACCTCAATGGAAGGCCTTTATGCCTTATTGTTAGCCTAATCAAGAATTGGAGGAAAACCTGTTAATATTAATAAGTAGACTCATTATGAAAATTGAAATTAGATGTACCTTTATATATTTGGCTTTCAAGGAATTGTAAAGAGGTTTTCTAAATTTTGTATGTATATCTTAGACACTGATAGCATCAATTTGCACCATTCCAATTTTTAATGTGGTTTCTGCAATTCTACAAAAACTTCACTTTTTGTGAAGGGCCTTATGTGATGAAGCTTATTTTGCAAATTAGTGCCGTCATCAAATGCTATGTTTTAGTGGAATTGCAGGAACCACAGATGTCTGATTGAAATATGAATGGTTCAGTAGCAGTGTGCCCGATACAGATAAGAAAGGGAAAACCTCGTAACACTTTCATATTCAATATACTATTCTAGTTTAATTCTTGCAGAAAGGGTTTCAATTGAGGTGCTGTTTTAATATTTCTTTTGTTACCTTGTTATAATCCCTTTATAATCCCTTGATGATCTATTGGTCTGTAATGTAACGTGATATTAATGAGTAGTAGACTTTGAACATTAGAATTATGTATTTAATATAAAGTTCTTGATGATCTATTGGTCTGTAATGTAACGTGATATTAATGAGTAGTAGACTTTGAACATTAGAATTATGTATTTAATATAAAGTTCTTGATGATCTATTGGTCTGTAATGTAACGTGATATTAATGAGTAGTAGACTTTGAACATTAGAATTATGTATTTAATATAAAGTTCTTGATGGACATGAGGAATAGGTCTAGATAACATTATTAGAAGGGTCAGAGACTGTTACTGTCTCAACCCTTTATACAGAAACACAATATTCATGTCACTAATTTTGACAGAGATTCGTTGGAACAAAATATTGTCCATAAAGGATTGAAAAAAATGTGCATTGGGACAGTGATAGCATCTGGACAATCTAATTTAAATTAAATTACAATTTCGTTTAGATTAGCTTAACCAAAAAATCCCGCTTTTGAGACTCAGGTACAATTAGTTGAATGAATGATGCACATATCCTTTTGAATTATGATCTTTTGACAGTTGGAAATAGAAAAAGAGCAGCTGATTTTGCTATACTGGTACAATTTTGCTTATTGTACACTGCATGGCATTACCTTCTTCAATAGCCTACAGTGTAGAAATGTAGGACTTAAACTTCTACCTTTACAGGTGATTTATTTTTAAGTGAATTGGAATATAAAGGTTTTATGAATTCACATTTAATGTGAAAAAGCAAAAATTTTCATCCTAGAAATTTTAACCAAGACTGTTCAGATGAATATTTCTCTCTGTGTAAACCTATTTCAATATGTATCTAAGATTGTCTGAGATCTTTGAAGCTAATATTCCAATTCACAATAAAACAAAAATAATATCAACACAAAGGCAGTAGTTCTGAAATTTGTTATTTATTTGTTAATGTGTAATATTGTAAATACAGAATATAGTAAAATAAATATTTTTGTTTTCCAATTTTTTTTATTCTTTGGGGAATATTTGATATCCTATTACTTATTGATGCAGGGTTCACAGGGGTCTCCATAAGGCTCCTTTCTCCTTGAAAGTGCTTATAAAGGTCATCTGAGCACCTGGCTTTCTTTTTGTGTTCTAGAGGGTAGTGGAGATAGGGCGTCAGGGGACCTCCCCCTAAATACCCCACTGCCCACAACCACCATTTTGTTCTATGTAAAAAGCTTAAAGGGATTGTAAGGAGGTTTTCCAAACTTTTTATGTGACACTGATGGCATCAATTTGCACCAGTGACATTATAAAATGCGTTAATTTTAGTGGAATTGCAAGTACCACAGACGTCGGAATGAAAATTGGAATGGTGTAAATTGATGCTATCAGTGTCCCTGATACTCATAAAAATTTTAGAATACCTCTTTACAATCCCTTTAAGATGTCATGTCACCTTGACATTAATCTAGCTCTATTCCCAACCCTTCAAACTCATTATAATTATGTGAAGCTGCTACTTAAAATATGGATGAGTACAGTCCTTAAAAAGCCTTGAATCAGAAAGTAAAGAATAAGGAAACGACCTCGTATACATATCATTGGCATACACATAATGAATATAAAAATACCAGAATGTATTATTAGTAGTCTGAAGCAAAGATATATTCAAGTAAGGTTACTTCCCTTACTTCTCTGGTGTGTCCGGAAGTGAGGAAGTTGCAAAGTAAACAACAAGGTTGCGATGTTAAAAATTACCGAGTTTGAAAAGAGATGGGTGGATAGTTGTTTCATTTATTAAATGATCAGTTTGGTGAGAATGCTGTAGCTCAACAAGCCCCCCATTTCCGTAAGTTCTTACATTTTATAACAGTATTTTTCACTATAAATTTTCATGATTGAATTCTTGAAATTCTTATCAGTAACAGAACAGCGTGAGTGACTGAGTCAGATGCATGATCATTTGGGCTAATCTTTCAATAAAATTGCTTAGATTATTTTCCAAAGACAACCCTGATTTGAAATGAAGAAATCTGCACTTTAAGGCCTACATAGCCTATTGAAAGGTTTGTTACCGTTTAACCTGGCATTCAAACAAACAACGGTCTACTTTTAAGGGGTATCTCTTTGTGTCAGTACTTTGCTTACACTTTGTAGACAAGATTTATGGTGCAATTGTGAAGCAATCGTAAATTGAAATCAATCAAATTTGTACTTCATGTTTAGAACAACTTATTAACACCTATGATCGATGTAATTTATAATATTTCTCTGAAGCGTAAACAATATCATTTTGTCACAGGAAGACATGAAATGTCATACTGATAGACTTATGATTAGGGCTGGCCTGGGTAAAATGATCAAAATAATCAATAAATGTCGCTAGGAATCTATTTCTATTATCAGTGTGATATACAACTGTGTATTTTTATTGATGAGATTTTGGACAAGTAGGAATTTGATGATTTTTTTAGTGCATGCCACAAGGTCTTTTTTTCTAACAGCTTCTTTATATGTGGCCCAAAGCATGTAACAATATTTATATTTAATCAATCCCTTGTTTCCTAGCCTGGGGAGGGAGCCACGGTGGCTCAGTGAGTTAGACGCTTGCTCGCTAACCTGAAGGTCCAGGTTCAATCCTGCCATAGGTCGAGATGATACTTTCAGATTTTTCAACCCGGTTTCCTCCTGTCAGTGATGTAGGTAAGAGGGGCTGACATGGAAAAAGTGTCAAGTCATTCGGATCGGACAATAAGCCGAGGGCCTGTACGCTACAGGCTGTTCACATTAAAGATCCCTTGACAGTTAGAAATTGAAGAAGAGCAGGCTAATGCTGCTGTCCTGGCAAAATTTCCCTCATTGCACCCTGCATGGCTTGCCTGTCTTCATTAGTCCACATGGTGTAGAAAAGTAGGACAGAAAACTCATTCATTTCATTTCATTTTTCATTGCCTGGGGACAGTTGTGAAATATTGAATTTTTTCTGTCATTTCACAAATATCAAACTTAAATTTTCAGTTGACACGTTAATGTTTTCTTTTGTCAAATCTAAATCAATCTTTATTCATGACCTCCTTCAGCATTCAAAACATTTCTAAATAGTTTTTCCTGCCTTCAGAGTATTTAAAAAAATTGTGTGTACCGTACTGTGTATGAATCAATATCTGTATATGACATAAGTTATTGTTTGTTTTTTTGAGTTGTTTTTTAATGTAATATATTGTACATATGAAAATTATGTATTGGGAGAGAGTTATATAGGGACAAACCTCTTCCCCAGTCCATTTTATTATAATGAGAATAAGATTTCGGTAATAAAGAAACGTCCTCTTCTAGTTAACTGATATCAACAGACTTTAAGATTCTAATATTTCATAGTATCAGTAGTGCCTAGAGACTGTTGAATCTTGGTAATTTTTTTCTATTGGGGATTTCATTTAAAATCAATTTTAAGTTGATTTCTCATTATTTGAAATGTTAATTTTATCATGTGTTGTCTGTGTGTAGCTGGTATTACCTAGTTACCGATTAAAAAGAGAAGTTATTGATGAATTGTAAGATGTCTGATGTTTTTATGTCAGGTAATTAAGAATGATGACGACATGTGTTAATTGTGT